TCTATTGCGTAAGAACCAGTTTATGTTGGTTATATCGTGTGTATTATCATGTGAATATTCATATTGTGAACGGGCCGGCCCGGGCCCGCCCCGGGCGACGGGCTGGTTTCGGGCCGCCCACGAGCCGCAGGCCAATTTTACACTCCTATCAATGTGAATGTTAACTTGTCAATGTGAATATTCATATTATCAACGGGTCGGGTCGGACCTATTTTTTTGGCTCTTGGGCCGGCCCGGCCCGACTCGAATTTTTCCGGGCACCCACGAGGATCGACATGAGCCGGGCCCCTACACATTGACGATATAAACATTTATATTGACGGTGTGAACATTCACATTAAGGGTATTTTGGTAATTATGTCACCCATAGGACTTATTGAAACATAAGAAAATAATGTGAACTAAATGGAACATAAGTAGATGAAAAGGGTATTTTGGTCTTCTTATCTCAAATAGGACCTAATGGAGTGGTCGAAAAGAATATGGGTTAGATGGAATAAAGCTATTAGAAAGTGAATTTATCAAAAAAGCTCCCTTTATTTTTAATCACACTTAATAAGTGTGATTATACATATATATATATATATATATGCATATATATTTTAATCCTAAATAGTGTATAAAATATTTCTGTTTGATTTTTATATAAAATCATATTCCCAAATTCGCGCCTATTCTACCCACGATTACAGAGCAGGACTCTTTCCTTTGCCATCAAGATTGGATTTCCCAGGTAAGTCTCTTCTCCTTGCCTTCTGTTTCTGAAACGAAGCCCTAATTCGTTTTCTTCATCACAGCTCTGAACCACCATTGAAGTTACTCACTCAAACCACCATTGAAGTTTGTCTTTTGAAATCAAAAACCTCTTAAAATTTCTGGTGAGTTCTCTATTTTTGATGCCCCTTTTGTGTTATATATTTATGATTATGATTATTATTAGTGGAATTTTATTGGTGAGTTCTCTATTTTTGATGCCCCTTTTGTGTTATATATTTATGATTATGATTATTATTAGTGGAATTTTATAGATATAGGTTTTCATTGTGAATGAGGGTCTTGGGTGATAATGATACATGTTCTGTAAATCAGAGTTGTTTTTGTTAAGGTTTTTGTTGATGGTTGGTGGGATTTACGGGTCTATGTCAGTTGCTTTGTAGAATATGCAACTCCATTGCACTGGTGACTATATATATATATATATACACATATGTAAATATATGTGTTTGACACAAACAGAACAATATCTGGGAAAAGTAAAGGACCCATATACTAGAACTTTAATCACTTCATGTACAGGTTGCTCAGAAGCTGCATCTGCAAAATATGAAGCAATGAATTTATAAGAAGAGTTTTATTTAATTTCTTATTTATAATGTGGATTAATAGGATTTTTACCTATTCTCTATCTGTATTGTGAATGGTCTTATCAACCCAATTTTTATTTTTATTTTTTTGTATTAATTTGGCCTATGTAATTCTAAATAATCATGATTTGGTTATAATTCCTACCACCCATTTCAGTGACTATTATTATTATTATTAATAAATAATGGTCTACATTGCCTTAATATTATTTTTTATGATTAAGGAAGATAATATAGAAATTGCTTTCACCTGCACTTGCTCTTGTAGGAACTTTATATATCCAATTGCCTCCCCCAGCACCGATGCCGTATCCATCTGAAAAACCGATCCAATGAATATTGCCCACGTCAAATAGTATTAATTAATATACTAATGAATATCAATATCAAAATTAAAAATAAGTACTAATAACAATAAAGCTTAATGAAATAACACAGAGTATTATTGGACAAGTCTAAGTGCTTTTTATGTTTATAACCTTTTCAAATGGCGACACAATTTGTTGGAGGGCTGTGATTTTGTCTCCAAGCTTGACTTTTGTGACCTGCATCTATTAATTTAATATATATATATATATTAATAATAAATTTTGGTGATATGTTGTTTGAGGTTTTTTGTCATATACAAATTTATTTCGTTATATTTGGTTTGTTTTCATAATCTGTTTTTTTATTTTTTAAAAATTAGTTTAACAAAAATAAACCACAGAAAAACAAATTTACAAAACTAATCTTTCTTTTTTGGAAAAATAAATAAATAAATTCTGAAAACGAAACTAATAAACATATATGTATATATATATATACCTTTGAAGATAAGAGTGCAGAAGAAGTGTCATGCTTAGGCTTCTTTGTGGGTGTCTCTGAATTATCTTTAGATCTTTTCTTCTTTCCTTCACTGGCAATACCCTGTCCTCCCCTTCCATTGCTTCTTGTCCCTGTATGGCTTGTTGTTGATATTGTAGGCTGAAATTTCCAACATGAAAAAAAGTGAATCAACTTCCAATATAGAATGCATAGTTTTATATAGCACTATGGTTAGACATATTAGTATCAATCACTACATAACAATATCAGGAGTATCAAGCGATACATATTAGGGATCAAGTATTGTTGTAGTGGATATTTTAGAAGCAATAAAAAAAATAGTAATAAAAGAGAGCTTTATAGCTGGTCATATTGGTTGTGAATCGATTGTATGAATGGTAAATTTGTTACGAACCGATACATATTGGGAACCACTTGATACGTATGTGATTTTCATTCCAACATGTATACAGGAGTGTATCAGTATTGAAATAACGAAAAATAAGATACGTATCAATAGATACGGTAAGGAGATGGATTGGCATACTTTTAGAATAATATGTGTGTGGAGAATAATTAAATATATTTTTTCTAATAGTTTATGCTTTTAGATGAATTGGTAGTTAAAAATTTAACAATTTTTAAAAATGAGATTTGAGATCGAGGGTTAGATAACAAGCATGAGGGAGAGAGAGCTTACATGGGAAGAAGCTTGGATCCCTTGCTTCTTACAATCAGATAATTTCAATGATCTTCAATTTGGTTTAGATGCATGAACACCCACAATTGGCTTGCCCAAAAAACTATTAGAAGACATAACATCTCCAAAACTTCTTGTACCGTTGCATGGCACATCTGGCAATCCATAATAGTACTTGTTACTATCTCCTAAAATTGAATTGTAAAGCCCTAATTGATATTCAATCTCTCTATGTTCATCCTTAACTTTCATTTCCTGACCATAACACAAATACGAACCAGAATTCATGTTTATGCGTCCTGAAAACGTTGTCGGATTGCTCACTGATTGCTTACTATGACAAATATCAGGCTATGATGAGAAGCTATACAGGTTGTTATTGATTTCGGAGTCTGGGGGTGCAAAAGACCAGTTGTTTACCAAGCTTGATGGCAATTTGTTTAGCCTTTCACTTTCAATTAAGCCCTCGTTGAAACCATTAAAATGTTTTTTGAAATTGTTTATGACAAATTGTGGGTTTGTGAATTCCCAACTGTTGTCCATTTTCTTCAAGTAGTCACAAGCAGGCTCAAACATCATCCCAGTTGATAAACCCTTTGATGACAATATGTTGTTGTGTCCATTCTCTTGGGTGTTGTTCAGTTCTCCATTGCTCCCAATACTTCTACAAGGTTTATTCATAACAATAGATTGGATTAGAACCAAAGAGAGTTCAATCTCTTTCCTCTAGGATGTAGATTAACTTTCTCAAGTCTTTAATTCATCATATTACTAATAGCGACTTAAAAAGTGTGTTGTATGACTTGGAAATGAAGTGATGGCAGTCCTTTTTTGTTCCTATGAACTTTATTTGCTAGTCATAATTCATATGGGTACTTATCTTTTGTTTGCTTTTATTTCAATTTTTGTTTGTAAACTTGCTTATCTATACCATATGTTCTATGACATTCTAAAATATTAACTTATGTAGGTGATTAGTGACCATTTGGGATGGGTGAGATATATTGCATTTGATCCAAGTAATACATGGTTCTGTACTAGCTCTACAGATCGCACGATCAAGGTACATTCTCGTTTGAATTTCCTTTCTGCAAGTGACCATTGGGCTGTTTTACTTTGCTGCTTTACTGATTTGTTGTTGCTGTTTTGGGCTTGATTCAATACCTATTTAATCTCTAATTTGGCCTCAAAAGAAACATCAAAGTAGGATAAATTGTTATAAATAATTTATAAGATAATGATCAATTTTATTCTTCCAAATGATCCAAATCATAATCAATTTTATTCTAAAACTATTTATTTGATGTGTTCAAAGGAACTGTATGTGTAGAGAAGAGACTAGTATAAAGCCAATCATCACAAATTAGATTAACATATTTAATATGACAAATGGTAACAAAAGTTCAAAGAACCAAACAGCTGAACGAAGGGCACCAACGAGTCAAATAAGATACCTTGAGAAGCATACATAAACATTGAGACTAACCTCCCCAAAATTATAAGAGTAGTTTGTGCTACTACAATTACCCTTTAAAATGATAGTTTTTCCAGCCCAACCAAAAACATTCAAGCCGCTTAAGGTAGCAAAAAAGACCTTATTCTTTTCCAGGCCTGCCAGCTATGCTGTTGAGTGGAAGGCTTGTATCACCTAACATTACGCTCAATGTGCTGCCAACAGCATGCAGGCAGCAGTATGCATCGGCAAGTATGCAGCAGCAGCAGCACAAGAAGTAGCCTACCAACCTTCAAGTATCCTACAAACAGTATGCATCAGCAAGCATAGTGCAGAGTTGTTTTGCTTTTGCTGTTGCTGCTGCAGAATTGTTTTTCCTACTGCTGCAAGTTGCTGCCTGTTTGGGAGGCAAACTGCCTAAGTGAGTTGGGCTACACCTCATCATTTCACTCCCAAACTGACACAATTATGTAGTTAGGATTAATTACAATTAGGTTGAGTTGGTTATAGAGTAGGTAGAATTGTAGTTCAGTTAGATGGTTATGCAATATATTTTTGAACACACTCATGTCTCAAAATTATTTTTGAACACACTCATGTTTCCAAATTACAAATTATTTTTGAACACACTCATGTTTCCAAATTACAAATTATTTTTGAACACACTCATGTTTCCAAATTATTTTTGAAAACACTCTCTCTCACAAGTTAATAGAGGATTTTTTTCTAATTTTTTTAAGATTAAGTTATTGGAGGATAATATTGAACTTTTTGTCCACTTCTATGTAACATGTTTGCCCTCCTTTCCATGGAGTTTTGTACCAATTCCTCTTTCTGATGATAATGCTATTGCAATTATGATGTGGTAAATTGAGATTCCTTTTTTTCAAATATAAAATTCATTACTTAATCTCATAAAATTCATACTAACGATAATGGACTGTCAATAAATAGAAGGAAAAAATTGCAAGAAGAGCAATTTTGCATTTTCACTGCTTTTTGTATGAATTTTTCAAACACCAAAGTCACTGGATGAAAACTTTCTTTTTGTTCTTTTCTTTTTTTTAAATTTTCCATAATTTAGTTAATCTGGTATTTAGTAAAACTGATTGCATATGAATTTCTAACTTTCGATTGATGAAAATAAAAGGGACCATGTTCGCATGGGTAACTCGATGCTTAATTAATCTCCAGACACAGCCTTAAACCTAGAAGGAACCAAAAAAAAAAAAACTATATACTAGCAGCAATTACTGTCATCACATCCTAAAGGTTCCTCACAAACTATAAGAATTTACATGAATACATAACAAAAAAATAATAAATTGAAGTTAGTCTTACATAACTTCACCAGAGGCAACTGATCTCATAGAAAATGATCTGTTGGCAGCCTCTTTTTCTATGGAATAAATGATTAAGGCCTTCACAATCTGCCTAAATCTCTTCCTGTAAGTTGGAAACTTTGATACACTTCGAATCATTCCCATCATCTTGACCCAAAAGACTATATATCAGTAGTGTTCAGAGAAAATTTAGCCTTTTACAATGTAATAAAAAAGAAAGCAACAAAAAAGTATATCTGGGAATATCAGAAGGGAAATCAATCACACTCAATTGAATACGATTCCAATGTCAAATCCCCATCCATGGCTTTAATTTGGCTTTTCCTGTTGTCCCTAACACCCATGGTTTCTCAATTCATGGACCTTTCAAAGAGTAAAATTTTTGAAATTTAGAGTTGCTAAATTTCTCAAAATTTGAGTGGGGCCACAGACCCCATTGGTCTATGCTTAGGCTCATGTCCTATAGCTTTCAATGCTTAGGCTCATGTCCTATAGCTTTCAAAGAGCTGTGGGCTAATGTCCAAACATCAAATGCCAGCAAATGTGGTCACTACCAATTTCTAGTTGATTTTCAAAATCATAGAAAACCATGTTTTTGAAAATCAACACTCATTAAACCCATTTCAGAAATTAAAATCATGTCAGAAATCAAAACTCATTTCAGATCCAATATATGTATGTATGTTCATGTACTCTGTATAGAACTCATTCAATATATATACTTCTTCATTCCATGAATTGCTTTATGGTTTCAAAGCAATTCTTCTTCTTCGAATTGGCATTACAAATTGGGGCATCCCTCATCTCAGAAACAACATCACCTTGCTAAGAATGAAGAAACTTTCTTTTAATAAACATTGTAAAAGTATGTGCACTCACGATAGACTTGAGGAGTGCATGAGATGGAAACAAGACAAAGACCTCTAATCTTGAGATACAATATTTATGACTGAATTTGTTTTGTGTCATTGCTTTATGAAGAAACTATTTTCAGAAAATCCTTAATATCTAAAACAGTTTCAACATGAGTTTGCAATAGAGCCTGTTGTGCTTGTATTACAGAGTGTTGGCAATTTGAACTTTGAAATGCCATGTTTATGGTAACCCAAAATCTTAGGTCTTGTTGAAGCTGATAACTAGGGAGAATTGTTGCAATATCTTTTACTTTGCTTATCACTCAGAAAATAAATGCTCTCCTTGTCTTAGAACAGTTTAGGTAAGAAAAGATGGTATGTGTAGTATTACTCTTTGCTGCTTGTATTATCTATGGATCTTACTTTGTCTCCTATGACACTGCAAATGAGCTTTAAGCAAGATTCAACCAAAAACTTAACAACTTGTTTTGCACCTACGTAACATTTAGCAATTCCATGGTTTGGGCTTGTTTTGAAATTTTTTACAAGACACTTAGTATTTGTCAATGGGCTAAGATAGCCCCAAAATAACTATAAGTTGTCACACCACTCTTTTTATTTTTTTTGTATTAGCTGGAGGATTTGTGTTGTTTAGTCTCAAGGAAATTTGCTGAAATGTGTTCATGTTGCTGAACTGTGTTCATGCTGCTATTAATGTGTTTATGCATAGGTGCTAGCTAATGGTTGGATGGCTGAATGAATGAGCTGGGTTGTTGTGTTGGTTGGTCTGTCTTAGATGATTGGCTGTGAGATTTTCTCTTATTTTAACTAGGGCAATTGCAAATCAGCTAAAAAATGTAATAATAATTACAAAAACTTACTTGTCATTATTTGCACCAAAAATACAACGTGACTTGCAAATCTCATATTTTGGCAATTGCTTTCAACCCTTTCCCCCCCCCCCCCCCCCCCCCTAATTTATTTATAATTTCCCATAACTATTCCAGGCTTTACCTCCTTTAAACTTGTTCTCTTTTGTGCTCTTTTTTTCTTCTTTTCTCTTTCATCATTTCATCTCTTTCTTCTCTACCTATCTACTCTCTATTTATATTTTTTCTTATCTAAAAATAAATACACCAGCACATAATTGTTAAAATCTTGGTGGAATTGCTCAACATTCAAATACTGGAACTGTGGGGGATTGTTCATTTGTTTGTTCTTTTGGAGTTTACCCATCTTGACTTGGTATATTAATTGCTTTTCTTATGCATCTATACAAAAATAGTAAGTTTGTTTATAGCTTCGAATAGTTTATGAATTAATTTGTGTTTTTATTTTTCAAGTCAGAAATTTCCTAGAGAGATGCGAAATATGGTCAACGAATTCAACACCTTAGTTTTTTTCATTTTTTAATATGTGTAATCACAGTTAAACATTTATTAATTCCTTTGTATATACCTTTAAATATTTAACTTTCATTTATAAAATATATGACGTTATTTCATTCAATATATGATTGTGATTCAAAAAATAATATAGAGTGTGTATTAAATTCTTCAAATGCGCGTACAAAAATAATACTCCCTCCGTCCCAAAATATTGGTGTTAAACATTTATTAATTCCTTTGTATATACCTTTAAATATTTAACTTTCATTTATAAAATATATGACGTTATTTCATTCAATATATGATTGTGATTCAAAAAATAATATAGAGTGTGTATTAAATTCTTCAAATGCGCGTACAAAAATAATATTGATTATTCTTCAAAAATATGTCAAATTTTTTTTTCATCATAGGTTTTATTAGTTATTAATTACACTTAAAAGATGTGATCTAAATATTTTTAATCACACTTAAAAATGTGATCTAAATATTATTCATCACACTTAAAAGATGTGATGAAATCATTTTTAATGACACTTAAAAAGTATGATAAAAAATGACCCCTTTTAATCATACTCCCAAAGACAACACTTTAATAAAACTTAAAAGGTGTGATTAAACACATTCATCACACAAAAAAAGTGTGATCTTTATCTGTATTTGTAGTAGTGAAAAAGTCAAAAAAACTCAAAAAATCTTTCAAAACGAGACTTTTTAACCCCAGACTAAAATAGTCAAAAAAACCAACCTACTTTCCAAACGAACCCTTAAAGATTTGGATAGATATTTAAAAAAAATATATAATAAAATAAAATGAAATAAAAGGAAGTTAAATACAAATAAAATAGTGGTAGAGTTAGAAATTCAAGATAGGGGGTGCATATTCCTCAAATCATTAAAATGAAAAAAAAATCGCAATAAATAATAACGAGATATTATTTAATTTATATGATTTTTTTTTTTTTTTGGTCTATGATATATTGAGATTCAACATTACAATTACTATGAGAATTACATCAATATAGCTTAGAAATCCGCCATCAACAACACAACTGAATTTATAATTAACAAATTCAATACTATCAACTCAACAAAAAACCCTACATTAAAAAAAACAAAACAAAACAAAACAAAAAAGAGCAATCAACTAAACAAATCCTATAATAAAAAAGAAATGTTCAATGAATTCAAATCTTACCATTCACTTTCCAATTTAAAGTATAAAAAAATATTTTTTAATAAGAATTTATATTTATTTTAGATATTTTTTTTAATATACAAATTATTTTTTTAGATTTCTTATAAAAATAATTTAATAATTCTATCACTAATCATAGTGTATGGCAGAAGTTGAAAAGTGCACCAGTAGGTATGAGAGAAGTTAAAAAGACTTGTGGATTAGGAGAAATCAATAAATGCTGAGGTTTTTTTTTTTATAAATAAAAAAATTAGAAAACTAAGATTTAGATATTGGAGCTCCCACAAGACTTGTGGGTTAAAAACTCCATTTTCCTTATATAATACTAGCCTATCACCCGTGCCATGCATGGGATAATTATAGATATTTATATTTGTTTTACATTTTTTTAATATATAAATTATGTTTTTTAAGATTTTTTATAAAGATAATTTAACAATCTTATCACTAATCATAATGTATAGGAGAAGTTAAAAAAGGTACTGCAGTAACTATACACGGATTGTATCTATAATTATTTGTATGTGGGGATTTTAAATGCTGATCAGAGGATTTTGACCAAATCAATAAATGCAGGCATGTAGAAAGACATGTGGATTGAAAAAAGTTAATAAATGCTGATCAGGGGATTTTGACCAAATCAATAAATGCTGAGTTTTTTTTTTTTAAATAAAAAATTTAGAAAATTCAGATTGTGATATTGGAGCTCCAACAGGCCTTGGGGTTAAAAACCCCATTGTGCTTAATATATAGTATAGACTAGCATATCACCCGTGCTATGCACGGATTGTGTTTACAATTATCTATATATGTGAATTGTGATTTTTAAATTTTTTTTTAATGTTT